TGAGAGGAGGAGCGGCCTAAAGCTTGACCTGATATGAAGATAAAGCTGATGGGTGAGCGTAGAGAAGTAAGAGGTACACGGATGATGCGTGAAGTTAAAGGCATAAGGATATACTATGATATTTTATTATTATTATTATTATTATTATTAATTATTCCAATTGGGTGAATCAAATGGTAGTAAGGACATACACATACACACATATACACATTATGCATAGAAAGAGAGACACTTTCTCACTCTCATTTTTTATGTATTTTAAGTAGATCTTGTTGCCTCGTGTCTTAGTTTGCCCATCACTTCGAATTTTGTGTCTACGTCGAGTGCAATAAAGTTGGACTGTGGGTATCTTCACTAGATAATTTTGATGTTTCAGACGCGCTCGTGAAGTTTATTTTACGATTAGGGTTCATTTAAGCAATTTCGATGATCGCTGTGATGTGGGCTCAAATTGTTGGCATTACACCGACAATTCATGGATATGTTGGTGTAGTCAATATTGTGATTGGATGTTGTTTAAGTAGTTTTTAACAATGATCGAAGTTATATGAACTTGATTTTTTTATGCCTCATTTGTTGCTCGTCATTTTCACATGTTGTTCAATTTAACTTATGAAACACACATAGAGGTCAACTTCAGACATTGCTTAGAACTGCCATGTCATAAACAATCACGTAATTTCATACAAGGTATAATGTTGTTGACGTCAATTCTACTGTAATACATGGCCAGATGCGCAAGGCCATTGATACCATAAGAAGCCAAAAGCATGAAAAAATACAAATATTATTACTGAAATTCAAATGTTACAACAAAGACTCACCAAAATTGGAAATAAATGACCAATTAATGCAAAAGATCCCCGAGGGTGAGAACAAGAGGTGGTGGTGCGGGCAGAACAATAGGTGCGGTGACTGTAGGGAGAAACTCTTGCATACAACAGGGAAGGCCTCACGGCTACAATAGGCCTGACGGTTGGATGGGATTAAAACGAGTGGTAGGTTGTCACGAGAGGGGTAGGAAGAGCCGCGACTATGTTGTATTCAATGACAGGGAACAGGTTGCAACCGGTTGTGAATTACGGCGGGGAAACAGGGTTGGTTGGGCATGGCTACGGGAAAAGAGGGGGAGAGTGGGCTGGGGGAGGCGAGCCGTAGAAGTGGCTGGGGGAGGTTGACGGGGCTAGTTCTGGGCATACCGTGACTGAGAATGGGAAAGTGGTGCTAGCGGCTGGGGAAAACTCCTGGTTGTTGGTGGCTGGGAGCATAGGGGTGCAGGGAAAACCAACGGGCGGCTAGAAGGGGAGGTGGAGATGGAAGTCAGAGAAGATAGTCACCACCGGGGAGAGGGATACAACCAGAACACCACCCTTAATGTCATATACAACTCTCGGAGGGGAAAATAGGATGCCGGTGGCTGTCCTCACAAATTGAAATCAGAAAATACCATAATCTGAACCCTAAGACATAAAAACACATATAAATAGAAAAAAGGAGGGGTGGGAAATGAAAACAGGAAGGGGGGAAATTCCCGGCTAATGAAAGGGGGCCGGTCCAACCCTCTGTCTCAACGAACTGGTTCGGGCCAAGCCGGTTCGGCTTTTGGTGGAAAACCGCCGTATCAGTAATCCTTAGCTATCCAATGATCAATCTTCTCATGAGGTACCTTGAAACAATCTTCTCTCCTCTGCGAGAAAGAAGTTGATCTACCCCTAGGAAAGTGTGGCGATTGGCTTTACTAACTGAGTCAACTGAAAGTCGTAACATCCCCGAAATTTCCTTTTTCTAGATTAACTAATTTCAATCCCTTCTTTAAAATTCATAATAAAAATATAAAATTGTATTATTTATTGAAATTCACAAATATCAGCAATTAAAATCACGCCCAATGTGTATTAAAATATAATTACTACCTCATTGAATCCTTTTGTAGTAAGCTATACATTATATTACTTGGCACTTGATTGATTAGAAATTAAAATTATTCATACTAATAATATGATTCTTTTGAGCAATCTTTGAATAAGTATTTGATGTTGATGGTGACAGAGTTTTAGCAATATCTTTTTTGTTATTGCATCATTGCAGAAAGATTATTGTGGTTCAATTATTTTTCTGATTTAGTTTTGCAGTTTGTAGTGAGTGAAATAAAAAGAGAATGCATCATTTTACTTTTGCATAAACTGATTTTTATTTTATGTTACTGGTCCATGTTATTGCAGACTACTTCGGGCAAAGGTGGTTCTTATCAGTATGATATTCACTTCTGGATCGGGAAAGACACTAGCCAAGTATGGTATTTCACCATTTTTGATATCATAAGAAAGGGTGTTCGGAGATTACTTGTTGGTTTGAATGAGAATTGACTTCCAGGATGAAGCTGGAGCAGCAGCAATCAAGACAGTAGAATTTGATGCAGCTCTTGGAGGTCGTGCAGTTCAACACAGGGAGCTTCAGGGTCATGAATCTGACAAGTTTTTGTCTTATTTCAAGCCATGCATCATTCCTCTTGAAGGGGGCGTTGCCTCGGGCTTCAAGACGCCAGAAAAGGAGAAGTTTGAAAACCGTCTTTATGTTTGCAAGGGAAAAAGAGTTGTTAGAATGAAGCAAGTGAGTAGCTTTTAAGTTCTTTTTCTTAATATATTTTCCAATTTCATGAGCAAGCTGTTTTCTGCAAATGATGGCTTTATTTTCTTAATTGGGCAGGTTCTGTTTTCCCGGTCTTCACTGAATCATGATGATGTATTCATCTTGGACACTGAAAATAAAATATATCAATTTAATGGAGCTAATTCTAATATCCAAGAAAGAGCAAAATCCTTAGAAGTGATACAATATTTAAAGGATAAGTACCATGAAGGAAAGTGTGAAGTTGCAATTATTGGTAAGTTCTTACGAAATTTACTAATTTTGTTACTTTTAGACAGCACCAAGCTAGGTAGTGCGATGGTTGTTGCAGTCCGGGTCAGGCTGGGTCCGGTTTAGCAGTTTTGCCTGAATTGGAAAGTCAGCCAATAGCTAATCTTTTCTTTTTAACACATTGTTAGATGATGGGAAACTTGTAGCAGAATCAGACTCGGGGGAATTTTGGGTCCTCTTTGGTGGTTTTGCACCAATCGGTAAAAAGCCTGCAGGTGAAGATGATGCTGTTTTGGAAATTACTCCACCTAAAATTTATAGGTATTTTTCCTGTCTACTTTATTTAACTGAGTAACTGCAAGGCTATAGTTTTTCAGCAGCTCGTCTGCAAGAAATAATGTAGATAAACGTAATGCTTTTAAATTACATATGTTTTCTTACATTTTAATTTTTTTGGTAGGGGGAGTGGGCATCCTTACTACCCAGTTTAGTGATTCTTGTTTTATTTAACGTAACTTGATAATTTATTTTTCATTTTGACTTTTATATTCTTGGGATAAGTGGAAAGTGGTCATAATCCTCCTCGTGGATAAACTCCTTGTTTCTGAAAACAAAATAACATTGAAAACTGCCCAAGCCTTCTGTTTGATTGTTGATGTTTTGCTTTTTAGTTTGCGTATAATGCAATGACTAAGGGTCTGTTTAGGGCAGCTGCAGCTTATATCATCTGCAGATAAACAACTGATCCAGATAAGCTGCTGATCAGCCGCTGATCCGGATAAGCTGGTTGGTGGTTTGGTTTGTGCTGTTGGAAAACAACTGATTTTCAGCTGATTGTGAATAAATGACCATTCTGCCCCTGTGCAGTAACGCTGTTTGCAACATAACTGTCATAACATTAAATTTGATACTTGAGAAGCAAAAAATCATTTCAGACTGTAGAAAAAATAAGATACACACCTCACATAGCAATGAGTATCAAGTGTACTAAAAAAGAAAAAAAGTATTAAAATTACATTTAAGAAAATGGTAATATTTATTTTAAAATGCAGACGACGTATGTCCCGAACGCTAGATCACTCAAATTTTGAACAACCAATCTAACAGGACAAAAGTATCACTACAAAACAAACATGAAGATCCTCGACTTTAGGGCCAATAAACATAATTCTATGATAAGCTTGATATTGCTGTGATATTTAGAATAAGCTAGTTCACTTGTGCTAACAAGCTGGAAATTTTGATTATATATTAGTCTACCAAGAGACATTGTTTAACCATTAAAAAGTATATTTTTTTATTAAAGAATAGTACTAGTAGCAAATCAAAAAAAGTATTCATTGATGCCTAAAACCAAATCTATTAATGTAATAATCCAGAAAACTCCAATGTATGAAAATCGTTCTTTTTTCCTTGAACAAAGGCGCTTCAGAAAGGAAATGCAATCCCATTTGTCGGTCATGGTGCCACCGCCCTAGTGAAGAGGAGAGCAACTCTCCCCGAACACCGTTGAGCTTAGCGATGACGGTTGAAAGGCCGCTGTCTGTGAGGAGGGGATTAGTAGGCCAGCCGACATGAACGGGATCGCAGTCCACGGATTTGTTAGCAAAGTTCCTCCACTCCGACATCTCATCAATGGAGTGCGCCTCAAGCACCAGCCCACACTTTGAGCACGCCGTGTCCCTCGCAGAGTGATCGAGGATGACCCCCTGTGCTCCTCTTGCACCACTTCCTTCCTATAACCTCTTTTCCTGCCGCTAATGATCTTTACCCTTCCCTCTCTTCCCTTGCTCTTTATCCCGTCCGACCGTATCACAAATCTCGGCCTCCGGTATCCGCCCACCTTTTCCTCCTTCCCTGATCGTCGTCAGTGAAAATCTCCCATTCCCTTATATCAGATAGCCAGATCGGAGAGGCGCGATAGGGCAAAGGAGAGGAGACAGAGAGTGAAACACGATAGGGCACTCGAGGGCAGCGGGACAATAGATATGCGAACAAACGTGGGCCGCGTGGTCGATCCTGCGGTCGCGTTTATTAAATAAAATAGAACATCGTTTCCAGATAAGCAGCCTGAACGCGATAAACAAACGGGACAACGGCTTTTTGAAAACACCGTCCGCAGTTATTAGCTGCCCCAAACAAGCCATAAGTGTGAGAGTGAAGATAGTGGCAGTATCAGTTGTTCTTTTGACATGTTCTGATCATCAACGGACATTTGAGGGAAGTATTTAATTCAATTTTCTCTTTAACTAGGCATCCCACATTTTAATTTATGATATTTAAGATAATTCTTCATAAAAATTGACTTTACTGTACAATGTTGAATTCTAAATCCAAATTTACCTTTCCTCTTTTTCAATACTTCAATTCATTTTCTTTGATTTCATAATATCTGATAATAATATTGCTGTGGAGTTTGTTTATACATATCATAGTTATTATTACACCCCGGGTCCGGAAGGCGGTACACCCTGATAATATAAGGCATGAGGAAATGATTTGAACCTAGTTTGTATTTTCAAAGAAAGACTTGTATTGCAAATAAAAAAAAGGTAAATTTTATTAATAAGAAAAGCTCAATATTACAACATGACTAAATAGAAAATTAGCTGAATCAAAATAGAAATGATAATATAGAATAACTACCCAGACTCAACAAAGAAAAATACAATAGCTAGAAATAAATCATAAGGAAACTATCAAAACTGAGAAGCTAAAATTGACATGCCGTCTCCTGTGGAGATGGTCCTAATAGGGGTTGAATGGAACCTGTTATGCATAAATTAAGAATGAGTTCGACAAACTTAATAAATAACAACTGTCTATTAAAACATAAAGGACAATGAGAATGAGACGTGTATATAAATGATAAATAAGGAGTGCTTCGTGCATTTATATATCATGAAGCAAGAAGATGGTGGTAAACCAAATGTGCCCATATGTCATAAGAAAACATGCAATCAAGTTTTTTATTATTATGTTTTTCATTTATTTTTATTTTCTCGTTTTTAATAAACCGGGAATGTTAAATACCAACCCAAAGAAACTTGGCGGTTTCCTGTAGAATAGTCACTCTATGGGCCCGTCAGCCCGACTAGCCAAAATCCAAAAGAATTCAATCGATATTTTTATTTTCTCGTTTTTAATAAACCGGGAATGTCAAATACCAACCCAAAGAAACTTGGCGGTTTCCTATAGAATAGTCACTCTATGGGCCCGTCGGCCCGACTAGCCAAAATCCAAAAGAATTCAATCGATCTACATACCATCACACACAAGCATGACAGATTTTTCCTGCATGTACAACTTGTTAAAATTATAACATTTCATGCAGACTTGTGATATGACATGCAACACGTAGTCGATCTCGTTACATCTTTTGACGATCCTGGGCCACATGTAGTCGATCTCGGATCTGACTGATCTTCTTGGTAGCTTGATCCATTAGTTGCGATCCAAATATTTGTCTTTCACCAACCTCAAATCAACACAATTGGGATCTACACTTTCTGTCGTGAAGTGTTTTGTATGGTGCCATGGCGATACTAGCTTGAAAGTTATTGTTATAAACAAGCTCTACCAACGGGATTTAATCTTCTCAGCTACCTCAGTAGTCCAAAACACAAGCTCTCAGCAGGTCTTCTAAGACTAGAATGGTCTCCAACTGTCCCTTGATAAACAATTCTTGCAACTGGATTTTGAGTTCTTGGAGTTCTATATAGGCCATTCGATATGGTGTTTTAGAAATTGAGGTGATTTCCGGAAGTCCATGGTAAACTCAATCTCAGACAAATCTTCAGGAAATACATCAGCAAATCTTCAAACCACTGAGATGCTATCTAAGGTAACATTCGATTTCTTAGAATCTATCACATGAGCTAAATAGACAGCACACCCATGGGATATCAACTTATAAAACCTAACTGTCAAAATTAGATGAGAAATCTACTACCCTTGAAGCAGAAGGAAACTGGGCCAAGTATGTATAAATTCATCAATCTCTTACGACAATCAATAATTGCATGATGTGGATAACAGTCCATACCTAAGATTATATCAAACTCAACTAGTGGGAATACTGTGAGAGTATCATGAATGTGTTTGTTATTGATGATAATGTCACAATCACGAACATACTAAGTAATGATCACAAGTGAACTAGATGACAGAGTGATTGATAAATGTGATTATAATAGGGAAATCAATGCACTAGATGCAAATTTGTTTCATATGAATGAATGAGTTGCCCTAGAGTCAAATAATACATTTGTTGGTGGCTTTAAAATAAGAATGATACATGTCATCACATCAGGACACGAGCCTCTTCCGACGTCATAACGAATCTACATGGTGGAATTGTTTGTCTGGGCTGCTCTGGAGCTTGAGCTCGCTGAGGCTAGTAATGCACAGTTGAGGGTTGTTGATACATTAGTGGTAGCTACTGAGATTGCTGGTACTACTGTACTGTGGTGCAAGAGAACGCTACTGATACGGTTGAGACGCCATCATTTGTTGTTGTTGTTGTTGTTGATGCTGAAAATAGTTATGCTTCGCTTGACATTTTCTTTGATGCTTCTAAAATTGTCCTCCATTTGATTTATGCAACTTACTCTTGTGATGAGGCTTGAAATTATTTTTCTGGGTGCTTATTGCTTGCAGCTGATCTTGAACTTTGAGGGGGCAATCCTTAGCTTTATGTTTAGTATTGTAGCAAATGAAGCATTCGTTGGCGACCAAATTACAATTCCCAGAATGCTATTTCTCGCAATGAACGCATCTAGGATTTGTTTTTTATTTCTTCGCCTCGTGATTTTGTGTTGCTTCTTTTGGGAACTCCCGTTAGCTTGCGTATCTGCATTCTTCCGCTTTCCGACATGCTTTTCCTCTGAAGCACTGATTTCCATCTCCGCATGAATAACTCAATCTACTAGTTCTATGTAAGTCATGCACTTGACCACTGATAGGCACCTCCAGATGTCTTCTCTCAAGCCAACCAGTAGGTGATAGATTTTTTGATTCTCATGTTGATTAATTGACAAGATGAAATGAATGATCTTGGAAAATTGTGTCTCGTACTCCTGAACGATTTTCATCCATTGATTCAGCTTCCTCAAATCATTCATGAGCTTGGCCCAGTCCGCCATAGGGAAATATTGCTCCAGGAATTGTCACGACCCGACCCGAAGCTTGAAATTAACCAAGCGGGAACGGACGGTTGGACGGATGAATTAAATTTTTTATATTAACTCATAACAGATGAAATAGCCACTAAAAATTAAATAAAAATGGTATAATTAATAATAACCTCATTAATGGTTGTT